CCACCTATGTTCAGCGCATGAACGTGGAATCCTTCCTCATTCACCTATGTCGCGGGAATGAACGTGGAATCCTCCCTCGCTTTCCCTTCACCTAAAGTTCAGGGCAATGAACGATGGAAATACTCCCTCTCACCTATGTTCAGCGGCCATGAACGGGAATCCTCCCTCACTTCACCTATGTTCAGGGCATGAACGTGGAATCCTCCGCTCATTCACCTATGTTCCAGGGGCGATGAACCGTGCGGAATCCTCCTCGATTCACCTTGTTCAGGGATGACCGTGGGAATCCTTCCTCGTTCACCTATGTTCAGGGGCATGAAACGTTGGGAATCCTCCTCATTCACCTATGTTCAGCGCATACGTGGGAATCCTCCCTCATTCACCTATGTTTCAGGGCCGTGAACGTGGGAATCTCCCTCGATTACACTATCTTCAGCGCGCGGATGAAAACGTGGGAATCCTCCTCCCTTCACCTATGTTCAGCGATGAACGTGGAATACTCCTCCCTTCACCGATGTTCAGGGCGCGATGAACGCTGGGAATACTCCCTCATCTCACTATATGTTCTTCTAGGGGCCATCTATCGGGCGAATACTCTCCTCCCTTCACCTATGTTCAGGGCCATGAACGCTGGAGATACTCCCTCATTCAACCTAGTTCAGGGGCATGAACGTGGGAATCCACCCTCATTCAACCTATGTTCCGGGCATGAACGTCGCGGAATCCTCCCTCATTCACCTATGTCAAGGGGCTATGAACGTGGAATCCTCCTCCTTCACTATGTTCACGGGCCTATGAACGTGGAATACTCCTCCCTCACCTATTCAGGGCGATGAACGTGGAATCCTCCCCTCATTCAACCTATGTTCAGCGGCATGAACGTGGGAAATACTCCTCCCTTCACCTAGTTCAGCGGCAATGAACGTGGAATTACTCCCGCGTTTCACCTATGTATCAGGGCGATGAACGTGGGAATCCTCCCTCATCACCTATGTTCATGGCATGAACGAGGCAATCCTCCCTCAATTCACTATGTTATGCGGGGGGATGAACGTGGCAATCCTCCCTCATTCACCTATCTTCAGCCGGCCATCATGAAACGTGGGAATCCTCCCTCAATTCACCTAATGTTCAAGGCATGAAACGTGGAATCCTCCTCATTCACCTTGCTCAAGCATTAACGTGGAATACTCCTCCCTTCACCGATGTTCCATGCCATGAACGTGCGCGAATGACTCCCCCCTTCACCCATAATGTTCAGGGCTATGAAACGTGGATCCTCCCTCGTCACCTATGCTTCCGGCATGAAACGTGCGGAAATCCTCCCTCATTCACCTATGCAGGAGCGAGAACGTGGAATCCTCCCTCATTCACCTATGCTCAGGGCATGAACGTGGGAATACTGCTCCGTTCAACCTATGTTCAGGCGCGGATGAACGTGGAATCCTCCCTCATTCACTTATTGGTCACATGAACGTCGGAATCCTCCCCTCGTTCACCTATGTTCAATGCCATTAACGTGGGTGGGAATACTCCTCCCTCACCTATGTTCAGGCATGAACGTGGAAGACTCCCCCCTTCACCTATAGATTCAGGGCATGAACGTGCGCCGAATTCCTCCCTCATGTCACCTAGTTCAGGCAGCTATGAACGTGGGAATCCTCCGCTCTTCAATCTTAATGCTCACGCCATTACGTGGGGGAATACTCCTTCCGCTTCACCTATGTTCAGGAATGAACGTGGGAATACTCTCTCGTCACCTATGTGTCAGCCGCCGATAAACGTGGAATCCTCCCTCATTCACTTATGTCAGGCCATGAACGTGGAATCCTTCCTCGTTCACTATGTTCAACTGCATTAACGCGCGCGCAATACCTCCTCCTTCACCTAGGTTCAGGGCACTTCATGAACGTGGGCGAATACCCCTCGTTCACCTATGTGCAGGGCATGAACGTGGAATCCTCCCTCATTCACCTATGTATCAGGGCCGATGCAACGTCGGGAATCCTCCCTTATATCACCTATGTTCAGCGGCATGAAACGTGTGGGAATACTCCCTCATTCACTTGATGTTCAGGCATGAACGGGGAATCCTTCCGGCATTCAACCTATGTTCAGGGCATGAACGTGGGAATACTCCCTCAGTCACCTATGTTCAGCGCATGAACGATGGGAATCTCCTCGCTTCACCTATGTTCAAGCATTAACGTGCGGAATAACTCCTCCTTCACCTATGTTCAGGGCGATAGATGAACGTGGCGAATTCCTCCCTCATGTTCACCTATGTTCAAGGGCGTATTGAACAGTGGGAATCCTCCCTCATCACCATATGTTCAGGCATTTTTTTTTTTTATGATTTCTGTTTATTATGTTTGCTTCTTCCTCTCATTTTTCTACCTTTATGTTTTTCTATTTTTTCTTTTGTTTTTGGATGAACTGGAATCCATCCCTCACTCACCTATGTTCAGGGCATGAACGTGGGCAATCCTCCTCGTTCACCTTATGTTCAAGCACTTAACGTGGAATACTCCATCCCTTCACCTATGTTTCAGGGCATGAACGCTGGGAATCCTCCCTCATTCACCTAGGTCAGGGCCATGAACGTGGCGAATCCTCCCTCATTCACCTATGTTCAGGCATGAACGTGGAATCCTCCCTCATTCACCCTATGTATCAGGGCAGAACGTGGAATACTCCTCCCTCAACTTATGCTTTATAGGCATGAACAGTGCGGAATCGCTCCCTCGATTCACCTATGGTCAGGCATTGCCACCGTGGAACCTTCCCTCATTCACCATATGTTCAAGGCATGAACGTGAATTCTCCCTCATTGCACCTATGGTCAGGGGCATGCACGTGGGAATCCTCCCTCATTCACCTATGTTGCAAGGCATGAAACGTGGGAATCCTCCCTCGCTGCACCTATGTTCAGGGCATGCCGGGAGCAATCCTCCCTCATTCACCGATGTTGCAGGCATGAACGTGGAATACGCCCTCGCCTTCACCATGTTCCGGGCATGAAACGTGGGAATAACTCCTCTCTTCGCTCTCCCTATACTCTTCTTTGTCTATGTTTCTCTCTCTTGCTTCTTTACCTATGTCAAGGCATGAACGTGAAAATCCTCCCATTCGCTTCACCTAGTTCAAGTGCCCATTAACGTGGCGAATACTCCTCCCTTCACCTATGTTCAAGGCATAAACGTGGGAATATTCCTCCCTGTCACCTAATGTTTTTTTTTTCAGGCCAATGAACGTGAATCGATCCCTCATTCACCTATGTTCAGCGGCGATTGAACGTGGGAATCCTCCCTCATTCACCTATGTTCCAGGGCATGAACGTGGGAATCCTCCCTCATTCACCTATGTTCCGGGGCATGAACGTGGGAATCCTCCCTCGTTCACCTATGTTCAGGGCATGAACGTGGGAATCCTCCCTCATTCACCTATGTTCAGGGCATGAACGTGGGAATCCTCCCTCATTCACCTATGTTCAGGGCATGAACGTGGGAATACTCCTCCCTTCACCTATGTTCCGGGGCATGAACGTGGGAATACTCCCCCCTTCACCTATAGAGCGCATGCGTCGACCCCGTGCTCTTCACGTTGCGCGCGTATGGCGACGTGTGGCAGCCGATATAATACGTAAATCAGAATTCGCCTCGTCGCTTCGACTTCCGTTCGCTTCACGATCTTCCGTTTCGTGACACACTAACAACAAGAGTAGTAACTCTTGTTGGGTTACATTATTGTATCTAATATACGGCTAATTAAAGGATTTGCGAACGTTTTCGGGTTATCAAAAAGGTCTGACTTGCACTGCAATTGAGACGGCTGCGCTGTAGTTATGACAACGGCGGATGTTCACTGATACTTCAACTTGTTATCTTGTTTTCAGTATTACGAGTCTCCTTCAAGAATGCTTAGCAGCATGGACATAATACCCGATGCGATCGCAGCGCCACCGTTCAACTCGCACACGCAAGTTTAATGCGGGCCCATGACTACGCGCTTCCGCTCAATTTGCGAATCTATTTTACTCAACCTACTATTTATTAAGTATCACCCATTGCGAGAGAAATGCGCGTTGTATAGGCCAAGTATACACGCGGCAACTTTATTGATGTTTTCCTGTACTTCGAAATGTATAAGACGAAGTTAAAAATACGGATTACTCAAGGGATTTTTTTAATGATAAAACTGGTTAGTCTTACAAGTATAGCAATCTTGTCGATTGAAGGTGAGTAGAACCAAAGGTTAGGTTATACAGTTGTTAACACCCGATGGTTATCCAAATTCTAGTTTAGATATTATATATATCCAATTATCTTCCTCTTTTTTTACGTCTGGACAGTACGGTCCCACATTGCTATTTACTCTATAACTCTATAAAGCCCTAAGCATGAGGCCCTTAGATGCCTTTTACATCTTTGCCCAATATACGGAAACCATTTTCTCTCATGAAACGTGTACGCAGAGAAAATTTCCTATATTACTGTATTATTTATTGTACCAGTTATTGACAATATTACTGTACCCTACCTTGAAAAATTCAATGATGGGTTGAGACAAAATCATGATTACTATTATGAAGTCCAGGGACAGTTACTTTGCACTAATATGAAACGACGTCACTTTGTCATTTACACGTATCTTAAATGTATAGAAATAGAGCGAGATGATGCTTTCATCCAATATATGGATATATGTATATATATATATACATATATATATATATATATATATATATATACATTATATATATATTATTATATACATTATATATATATATATATATATTGATCTTATAAATATAAGAAAAAATAGGTAAGTTAGAATAATTAATAGAAGCATTTGTTACTTATTATATGGGCTCGTCAGTATTTTATTACATAAACTGGCAAAATAGACAGAAACAATATCTATTTGCAACTTGGAGGCACTGGAGTGTGAATGTAATTAATAATTATAGCTTTAAATGATAATAAAAACAATCAATGACATGTCTTTTTTACTAATTCATTTATTACCTGCTAAATTATCCATATTACAGTAAAACCTCGTTATACCGCCACCATCGGGACTTGGGAAATATTGGCATTGTAACGAGGTATTGAGATTGCAGTTTAATATCACCACTAAATAGCCTCCAGTTGCTAGAAAACCAATCAAAATAGATGATATATTATTATAAACAAAAATCACATGACAAATAAAAATTATATTAACAAAATTTCTTTGTTTTATAACTGAATTACTATTGAAATAAAAATATTATAGTGTCATGGTTGTTTCCGTGTTTTCGTTAGTCCGGATGTAAATTTAAGTTTGCGTGCAGTATTTTGATAGTCTGGGGTTCAATCTTTCATAAAAAAGTCTGAAATTGACTTCTGTTTAGAACATTCCGAAATCAGTGAATCCATGCGAGATTGTAGGAGGGACACGGCAGAAATGTCACGTTCATTAGAATATGCGTTCGACTCAAAATATCGCAATACAGTCTGAATTGACCTCAGAGATGATGGGGGCGGAATCTCTACCGCTATAGTACTATACAGCCAAATACTACTGCTATTACATCTTCGTACATAACAATTAAAAGAATTATTTTACGAATAAGCGTTTGTTTTATACAGGTCCACTAGTATACAGGTTTGCTTGTAACAGCAGAGCGAGGAGAGCACAGTGTGGTCCAGCCGTTCTGTGATTAATATGCGGGAACTATTTCCGCAAGGATACACGTATATAGCGACAGTTTTTACATGAACAATTATTTAACAATATTCTCTACTAGCCTAGCGCAGGCTTGCGACTTTTGGTTGCTCGTCGCGGTGCTGCATCCGATCCGGATGCAGGCGGCGCTGCATTCGATCCGGATGGCGCTGTATCCGATCCAGATCCTCCTAAACTGCCGGAGAACGTTGCGGCGTCGTCAGCGGCATGAGACCTCCATGCTAGACTGAGAACGATGCAGCACAGTGCTAGTGCTAGCCTCGCCATCGTTGCTGGGTAGAAGCTGTGCTGATAAAATATGTAAATAACAATCGTCAGTATTTTATTTTACCTCGTGTGTAGCGGTGTAATTCACTCGTTCGTGAATAATCTCAGATGAGGAGTGGGATGCACGGTGTGTGCGTAAACATGCGTGCTACAAACATGTAAAACTTCACAACGCACGCAGCTACGCGACATTGGGGTTAACATGCGTGCTACAAACATGTAAAACTTCACAACGCACGCAGCCACGCGACATTGGGGTTAACATGCGTGCTACAAACATGTAAAACTTCACAACGCACGCAGCCACGCGACATTGGGGTTAACATGCGTGCTACAAACATGTAAAACTTTACAACGCAGGCAGCCACGCGCGACATGGGGGGGAGGGGGTGAATCTAATATATGTATAATAATGAGGAATAATATTATTATAATACCATGCCTATCGATCGAACACGTCTCATATATCTTGTCATGCGTCATTTACGCTACATCTTGCCATGCCTTATGTGAGATATTCAAATTAAATCATCTGCGTACAATGTCGTGTACGTGATTACGAGCGTATTGTAATAGATCCGCATGAAAGATCAAACAGTAAATGTGAACGCACCGATGTGTTCGATATCTGGATCCTTTCTCTCTTCAATGTGGTCTCCGTCGATAACACTATTTTCCTCTCGCCTGGCTGGGTAGCTGAAAATACGTAGCTGGTCGTGTAGTGTGCGTATATATCACCTGCAATCTCCGCAGTCTAACTCGCAATGCGCGTATCTCCGTCTAGAACAAGTGTCTGTTCTAGATCATGTTACCCGCATCATCGACATCCTGAAACTTATATATAGATGCAGGATGCGTGCTCGACACGGGGTAATACGGATAATTACTGTAATCACTGAAACACACCTGTAATTACTGTCGACGCTTGGCTGTGTAATATGTGCGGGTACCTGCAACACGACAGGTTCAACTGGTTCCGCGTAGGATCTGTTTACTATTTAGGCCTACGTGGTCTCAATGTCTTGCTCGCGCCGATGAAAGCATTTATGACGGGATAATTCGCGCCTTTTTCCCCACGAAAATAAAAGCGAGGGCACGGGTAGAAAATGGGAAAATATGTCGTGATTCGGCAGTCCTTATATGGTAGTCTGTGCACAATACACAGATGTGCTTTTATGATGAATTAACTTTTTTATGTTAGACGCACTTATTTTTCTAGCCAGCTATCTATATATCTATATATATATATATATATATATATATATATATATATAGTAGAGAGAGAGAGAGAGAGAGAGAGAGAGAGAGAGAGAGAGAGAGAAGAAGAGCTAGCAGAGAGAGAGAGAGAGAGAGCGAGAGAGAGAGAGAGAGAGAGAGAGAGAGACGAAAGAGAGAGAAAGAGAGAGAGAAAGAAGAGAAGCTGCGCAAACATTCACGGACGCGTGACATCATCTCATGCTTTGTCATCCGCTGACAAGATGACAATATGGACAATCTTCCAAGTAACAGCGGGTGTAGCTCTTTGCATGCATCAGTGATTTTGCAGGGTATCCTCTTTTGAATCGATTACCTGGTCTCAAGGTCTTGCTCGCGCGCGATGAACGCATTTATGAAGGGATAATTCGTCGCTTTTTCCCCCGAAAATAAGAGAGAGGCACGGGTGAAAAAATTGAAAAACATGTCGTGATTCGGCAGGCCTTATATGGTAGTCTGTCTGTGCACAATACACAGATGTGCTTTTATGATAAATTAACTTTTTTATGTTAGATGCACTTTATCTATTTTTCTAGCCAGCTAGCCAGCTATCTATCTATATATTATAATCAGTTAATCGTCCGCCAGTATGTGAAATACTAACATAGCGCCCATGCGCACAACGTCACTATTTCACATACGCAGCTTAGAACTATGTAGAACTATTCATAACGAGTTGGACGTATACTTAACCTATTAGTAACGTATATAGAACGTTTCGATAACTTATAAGATAACTTATACCAACGAATGCTTAGCGTGTTGCCGGCGTTCACAACTTATGCCAACGATAGTCTAACTTATGCATAGCGGCGCGCAGCGTCTCGCCGACGATCACGTGTCGTAGCCTTTAAAAAGCTGCCGCTCGACGATTCAAATCATAACCGCACTAGACATCAGCAGTAAAATCACATCTCGTCGCAGTATCAACATGTCAATACCTATTTTTAATATCCAATTTCCCTAAACGCTGCCAATACGCCATTATACGGTAGCTGTAAGTTAGAAACACGTTCAGTGTTCTGTTAAGTTCTGTGGTCGTCCGGAACACGTCAAATACGTCTACATACGTCAATATGCGTTGGAGATAAGTTACACATAGGTTCAAAGACGTACGTTACTCATAAGTTAGAAATAAGTTTTGGGTACGCTAGACATTATCTCGACGTATTTCGACTTATGAGTAACTTACAAGTAACGTGTGTGAACGTGTGTCAACGATCGCATAACTTACCTACAACTTATGGCCGCGTATGCTGGACGTATGGGCATACGCTGGCATACGCAAGCCAGAGGTTTATAGATTCGTTTGAGCTATTACATGTGACGCAGCTGTGTCGATAGTTGGATACCGAGCAACTACAAGGAATTGTGGGCAGAATTTGAAACGGTATTCTAACCCTAGCAATACCGTTTCTTGAGCTACTCTAATTCATGCACTAAGAGAGATACAACACTGGCGACGAGGAAAATACTATTTGGTGAAGGAAATTATCTGGAATGGAGATAAATAAGATACCGACGTTTGACTGCTACTTCTGACCCGGCTACGTGCGGTCCACGCTGGACGCGATGGCTGACAGCGTTCGAACTGTATGCTGATGGGAACAGTCTGATCGTTAACGAAGATACGGACATTAATACTACGAAGCAAAGGAGAAGAGCACTGTTACTTCACTCTGCCGGACTTGATGTGCACGGACGTGTTTTCTACATTACCAGCCCGGGAGGAGTCACGGACTATGTTTCAGCAGTGACGGATTGAACACTTATTTCGTGCCCCAAGTAAATTCAGCGTTTGCGAGACAGACATTTCACCGGATCACTCAGAAACCAGGTGAGACTGTGCAACAATTTGTCACACGGTTGAGGAAGGCGGCGAGAGACTGTAATTTTGGCAGCGATATGAAGAATCAGATCAGAGACAGTGTGCTGAGCAAGTGCTCGTCGGATTACGTTAGGAGGAAGCTGCTGGAAGAAGGCCAGGCATTGACATTAGGCCGTGCCATACAAGTGGCAGACCAGTGGCGAGATGGTGGAGGCCAAATGGCGGGCACTTTCGACGGCAAATAGCGGCGAAACTGTCAACAGATCGGTGAGAGGAGTGGACACTGGAAGCCACAACAACGGAGAGCATGGAGTAAATCCGATAATAAGACTGTTACTGTTAGAGATAAGGCTTGGTTATAGATGCGAATTAACTGCGTCATTTTGGTGAGCGATCCAAAATGTCCAGCAAAAGGTCAGTCATCCTCATGTAGAAAGTGCAAAGGGAAAGATCATTTTTCTAAAGTGTGTAGGACAAAGTCTAGGTCGGGGGTAAATTTAGTTAGTGAAAGTCCTAATGACCCCTGTAATTTCAGATTATGCATTCACTGTGTCTGCGTTGTAAATCAAGTATGCTTACGACATGTGTTGTGGTGTGGATTTAGCAATGTTGTGATTCAGGTGCGACCAGTAACATCGTCGATGAGGAAACCTGGGAGGAATTAAAATCTAGAAGATAAAGTGCAAGTCTGTGGCTAGTACTACAGGTGAGACCTGTTCCCCTATGGCTCTGATAAACCATTGCCAGTAAAGGGAGTTTGACTGTGTTATTCAGGCCGGGGAAAGTTGCTGAGCTAGTTTCCCGGTACCGTGCTTGGTAGAGATACGGCGACGAAGTTAGGTGTCCTGAAAATTGGCATTGAGATTGCAGCAGTAAGCGATGTGAGCCAGTGATATCAACGACTGTATCTGGATGTGTTCCACGGTGGTTGGGAAATTGAAAATACTAGGCAAGTAATTATCCACATTGATCACACTGTACCACCAGTAGCACAACCCTTGAGGCGAACCCCATTTAATTTAAGGGATAAGGTAGATGGAAAGATAAAAGAATTACTGGATCTAGACATCATTGAACCAGTCAATGTCCCACACCTTGGGTAAATCCGGTCGTAGTCGTCCCAAAAGCGGCAGGTGACATAAGGCTGTGTCTTGATATGCGTAGAGCAAATGAGGCAGTTATTGGCTAACGCTCCATTAGCGCAGCGTTCCCAACTTTAATGTCAATTAAATATCGTGATATAAAAGAGATATAAAGGGGTGGATTGATATCAATTAGATATCAAGGGGGGTTAGATATGAAATAGATATACCGGGGAGTGCATCGATATCAACTGGATATCAAGGGGGGGTTAGATTATGAAATAGATATCAAGGGGGGTTATATAGGGTATATAGAGGAGCAAGCAATTTGAGAGCTGGGGTCATGTTTGCTTCGTTTCGCTGGACTTCGCTTGGCGCGAGCAAGCGAAATACACAGCGGGGCCATGTTCGCTTCGTTTCGCTGGACTTCGCTCGGCTTCGCTGCTCGAGCAAGCGAAATACAGAGCTGGGCCATGTTCGCTTCGTTTCGCTGGACTTCGTTGCTCGAGCAAGCGAAATACGCAGCGGGCCATGTTTCGCTTTGTTTCGCTGACTTCGTTGGTCGAGCAAGCGAAATACAGAGCTGGGCCATGTTCGCTTCGTTTCGCTGGACTTCGTTGCTCGAGCAAGCGAAATACAGAGCGGGCGCCATGGTTGCGCTTCGTTTCGTTGGACTTCGTTGCTCGAGCAAGCGAAATACAGAGCGGGGCCATGTTCGCTTCGTTTTGCTGGACTTCGTTGCTGGAGCAAGCGAAATACAGAGCGGGGCCATGTTCGCTTCGTTTCGCTGGACTTCGTTGCTCGAGCAAGCGAAATACAGAGCGGGGCCATGTTCGCTTCGTTTCGCTGGACTTCGTTGCTCGAGCACGAGCGAAATACAGAGCGGGCCATGTTCGCTTTGTTTCGCTGGACTTCGTTGCTTGAGCAAGCGAAATACAGAGCGGTGCCATGTTCGCTTCGATTTGCTAGACTTCGTTGCTCGAGCAAGCCAACATTGAGACTGGGTATGTTCGCCTTCGTTTCGCTGGACTTTGCTTGACTTCGTTGCTCGAAGCAGCGAAAATACGGCAGCGGGGCCATGTTCGCTTCGTTTCGCTGGACTTCGTTGGTCGAGCAAGCGAAATACAGAGCTGGCCCATGTTCGCTTCATTTCGCTGGACTTCGTTGCTCGAGCAAGCGAAATACAGAGCGGGGCCATGTTCGCTTCGTTTCGTTGACTTCGTTGCTCGAGGCGAAGCGAATACAGAGCTGGGCCATGTTCGCTACGTTTCGCTGACTTCGTTGCTCGCGAGCAAGCGAAATACGCAGCGCGGGCCATGTTCGCTTCGTTTCGCTGGACTTCGTTGGTCGGCGAGCAAGCGAAATCAGAGGCTGGGCCATGTTCGCTTTCGTTCCGGCTGGACTTCGTTGCCTCGAGCAAGCGAAATACAGAGCGGGCCATGTTCGCTTCGTTTCGTTGGACTTCGTTGCTCGAGCAAGCGAAATACAGAGCGGGGCCATGTTCGCTTCGTTTCGCTGGACTTGCGTTGCTGGAGCAAGCGAAATACAGAGCAAGGCCATGTTCGCTTCGTTTCGCTGGACTTCGTTGCTCGAAGCAAGCGAAATACAGAGCGGGCCATGTTCGCTTCGTTTCGCTGGACTTCGTTGCTCGAGCAAGCAACATTGAGACTGGGGTATGTTCGCTTCGTTTTGCTGGACTTTGCTTGACTTCGTTGCTCGAGCAAGCGAA